CGGGGGTCCGGGCCCGCGGGGCCGGTCCAGGGTCGCCGGGCCAGGGGCCGGGGTCGCGGAGCCGGGGGGTGCGCCAGGCCGCCAGGGGCCGGCAGTGCTGGGCGGGCCGGGGGTGGTCGGCCAGGGGCCGGGGCCGGCACCCCAGGGCCCGAGCCGACCCAGGCTGGAGCCGCCAGGGGGGGCCAGCCTGGGCCGCGCCTCCTCCCCCCACACTCCCCCTTACCTGCTTCAGGCTTCCCGCGAATCAAATGTTCGCGGGAAGCAGGGGAGGGGGCGGAGTTGGGGCAGGGGCGTGGGCGGGGCTGGGGGCGGGGCCGGGGCCCCATGGAGTGTCCTCCATTTGGAGGCACAACATATGGTAACCCTATACAACACCTAACACAATGGGGCCTTGATACAAGACTAGGGCCCAGAGATACTATTGCAATACAAATAAACAACAACTGTAGATGCCACAAGTATTAATTAATACTTTTAAATAATAATAATAATTAATAAGTTCAAACCATTTCAAGAATCTCAGATGAAAGGAGCTTTAGAAAAACAAAATGCCTTTAAAGAGCAAAAAGAAAAGAGACGAAAAGAAAAGGGAGGCATGTGAAATGAGAAAAAAGGTATGGCTTGAGTTTGCAAGTACCTTGATCAGATCAGATCCAATTATTTTCAGAAAAAAAATATCAACAACAAAACCACAGTATAAAAATCTAGGCAGAATGAATGTTCATTTAATTGTATTAGTTATTTAACCTCAATTTAAAAAACAAAAAACTTCTCTGCAATAAGTTTTCTTTAAAGAAATTGCAAAAATTATGTGCTACTGCATTTGCTACATGTCAGCTTTAAATATCTGAGATACTGAGACAATGATTTAGATACCTCCCAATATCTGCACAATGGCATAGTGGCAACTGAATTTTTTAATCTACAATGAAATTATGTTGTAGAGGGGCTTTTTTAATCTTCAAAGCATTTAAGTGACTGAGGTGACCAGTTAGTAATACACACTAGAAGCTTCTGAAGACAAATAGTCCATAGTAAATATTTTAAAGTGAGCTGGTCTGTGCCATTAAAATACATCATCATCATCATCTTTCTGTTGCTGCAGAATAGCGAAAAGTTTTTGGATCCAAGGAAGACACTGTTTGTCTGGGTGGCATTCGGTATCTCACATTTTTCCAGAACTTTTTATTTGCTGAGTGAGATTTCTCTGTGGAGTCCCCTTTCCACTGGATGGCCCCATACTTTTGTTTAATGTATTTAATGGATTCTGGCATGTTCGTGTTGTCCTGTATTTTATCTAGTTCAATCAGAATAATTTTTATTTCATCCCGGATAAGAGCATTGTACACAGCCAGTTGCTGTTCAAAGGTATCTTCTAACACATTGTAACTCAATGCTTCTGATTCTAAAATTATCATCAGTCTTCTGCTTCGTTTGATGGTTTCATCAATAACATTGACCACAGCTGTAAGTAATGCAAGAATGATCAAAGTAGGCATAGAAAAGTTTCAACTTATGCAAAACGTCTCTCATTATTTTAAAAGTACATACTAATGGGGCAGTGGCTCGCTCAGAAGATTAGTAGAATATAGAACCTTTCAAAAACAGATTGTTAGTTCCAATCCAGCTCACTTCAGCAGCAATCAAAAGTGGTTTCTACCTGAGGACTTGCCAGTGACCTGTGTGAAATGAGTTTGTAGTCTAGATCTCATTGAACAGACATCCACACCACAAAACCCACTAATGGCATGTGGGAGGCAGTGTTCCCTGGTGGATAAAGCACTGGACTGGGACTCAGGAGACCTGGATTCTACTTCCAGTTTGACCACTGGCCTGCTAGTTGACTTTAGGCAAGTCACGTCACCACTCTGTGCCTCAGTTTCCCCATCTGTAAAATAGGGGATTCTTAGCTGCTTTGCAAAGCTCTTTGAAATCTACTGATGAAAAGCTCTACATAAAAACTAGATTATTATTATTATCATTATCATCATCATCAATAATGATTGGTATCCTTGTTATTCTCACTTGAGGTTTTTTTTTTTTTTTAATTAAATAATGGCATCTTGTATTTCTGTCTCAGAAGAGGAATTCTTTGTAGGGAATAGTTGCTCCAATCCCTCATCCTTAAAAATCAGCAATGGTATAGTCAATGCAGCTAAACTAAGTTTACAAAATTAGTCAGTCTCACATTGTTTTTTCATCACCAGCATACACAACAAATCTTAGAATAACATGTCAAATGGAAACACAGCAAGGGTAATATTAATTTTGCTATTTTTAACGTACCTTCCCCTAGTAAATCATCCCTTCCAAGTATAAAAAGATTATATCCACACTGGCTCTCTAAGACCTCGGGTAGTATTCTCAGAACAAAGTTGTTCAGGGTGTAGATACATCTCACCCCATTGGGTTTTGGATACATGACGTATGCATCATAGATCTTCCCATCTGAAGCTATTAAGAAAGAGCAAGAGACTCCTTTAAAAAAAAAAAACTACCTTTATTACAATTTTAATTGTTTAGTATTTAAAATCCTCTGGCAAACCACCAGGAAAGAGGATGAAATGCTCTAAAATGAAAGGTGGATGACCAGCCATAGATCTAACTCATTCTCTCCTCATGGATGAGGGGTTTGCCACAATGTGGATTGGGCACAGCACCCTACGATCTGCAGGGAAAGAAGTCCCAGCCCCACTGGTTCTAGGTAGACATCCACAAGCATACCTACCTCCTCCAGAATGGTCTCCAGCCCTTCTCCTGCCTGACATTGGCTGAACACCTGAGCTGGTGGGAAATGCCAAATATTTGTCAGCAGAAATTTTGAGAACATTTTGGAGGTTTAGATTTGGTAGAAATTTCCCACCAAAAAAAAAGTATAATTTTTTCATAAACAAAGCAAACAAAAATATTCAAATGCTTTTCAAAAACCATGTTGAGTAAAAAAAAAAAAAAATTTTTTTTTACCAAAACCCAAAATCTGGTTTTTCATTGAAAAACTGGAAAATTTTGTCACATGAAATTTTCCTATGAAAATTTTAATTTTTGACCAAAATCCATTTTTCGTCAAAATTCCTTTCCAATGAAATCATTTCAACCAGCCCTACTAAACATTAATCCTCTCCCTGAGCAGGACAGGAAGCTAATGCTAGTAGAAGAAGGGGGGAGACCACGGTTCAAAACCCTATTCCAGTGTGGGGATTCAAACCTGGGTCTCCCACATCCTGAGTGAGTGCCCTAACCACGGGGTTAAAGGTTATAAGAGCAACACCCCTACCTCCCCATTGCTATAAGGGGAGCAGCAGCAGCATCACCGCCTCTATTCATTTTGGCTACTCATTCATATTCAACATTACTATTGTTATTTTGGGCCCAGAGTATTTGGCAAATTTGTACCAAATTCACAAATAGTTTCTAATTGACCAAAACAGGAACAACCCATTCCTCCAAAAAATGTTGCCTGGCTCTAATTGTAAGCTGTGTGGGGCAAAGGCCCTCTTTTTGTTCTGGGCTTGTACAGTGACCAGCACAACAGAATGCTGGTCAGTGACAGGGGTTCCTAGGTGCTTCTGTAGTACAAAGAATAATATATCATGTAGCAGCTGCTCCCCCTTCTCAAACCTTTGCACACATCCCCACAGTGCATAAAAGTAATAAAATACATGGTAATCAAGGAATGGGGCAGTGGTGGCACTTTTTCCCCCTTTGGCACCTGCCTCTCATAGCTTTCAGCTTTTAAAAGGAAGGGGACGGAGAAGGGGATGGATAAAAAGAGGAACTTGAAGACAGTGTCTGAGAGTCTGATTTTCAATAGAAACATTCCAGGCAAAATCTCATATTGCCTCTCCTATACAAAGCTTTTTTATTATTATTTTATTTTATTTTTTTTAATTATTTTTAACCTTGGGCATTACCATTGCTGCTAAATGGCAGTACGTTGCTCTGGTGACATCTACTGGTCACCAACAGGTAAGCTATAAAGCTTATGGCAAAACAAGGCGCATTTTTTAGCAAAGCAGACAGCAATCCACAGATCTGGGGAAAGCATGGATTTCTGGTTGAACCACTTAACCATCATTGCCACATATACTTCCAATTGTTTATCATCTTAGTATGGTATGCATTTTACTCACTCATTTCAAACACGCTCCAATTGCTTTAGAAAATTCTAAACAAGTTCTACCCCGGGGGTCATTTCTTCCCCATCATCAGAAGACCTTCCTAAATACTCTTCTGTAAGTTACAAAAATCAATATAAAACGGTAGCAAACTGGCTACTCTGACATACCTTCTTTCTTTAAAAAAGCACAGCAAGAACTACGATACCAAAGCAAAATGTCAATCTTGAAAAGCTTGAAGATTAATAAAGTAACAACTGTTAAAAGCAGCAATGCAATGAATCCTCCAGTCAGTGATTTGTGAAAATCTGCAACTGCATCAGTAAAAGAAAAAAAGAAGAAACTGCGGAATTTGTCCAACTTTGAACTTTCAAACAACTGTAGTAATATTCAAAAGCTACATTTCTATATTCTCATTTTTTTTAATAAAAATAAACTATACATATGTATTACTATAGAACAACCATATCAATTATTGGTTGGGCAAAGCAAAAAGTAGAGCATCTAATACACAGGAAAATAATTAACATTTTATGTTTTCATAACACCTGCTACTGGAGGATGTGAATGCTCTTTACAAGCATGAATAAATCCTCATAACAGTTCTCTAGGTTAAATAGTGTTAGCAGTAGTTTATAGATGAAGAAACCTTGGCATAAAGAAATTAATACACACATTTTCAAAAGTAACCCCTAAATTTGACCCACAATGATTGATTGTTGTGTGTAGTCCAGGTTGAGGATTTCTGATGGTTAGTGTGTAAGATAGTGAGTCAGGAGACTCAATTTCTATTCCAAGCATTGTCACTGACTCAGTGTGTGGCCATAAGCAAGTCATTTAGGCTCAAATTTCTGAGTGCCTCAATTTTTGATCATCCAACATATGGCACAGTAGTTTTGAATTCATTCATTTCTATTCCTTGAAAGCTTCTCATAATTTACTCTAGTGTAGAAATCCCTCCAAACTCTGCTGTTTAAAATTTCCCTTCACATATGTACATTCAGCCTTTTTATTAATCTCCTAAATCTTCATATGCTCACCTCCAATTTCCACACACACACACACCCCTACCTTCCCTTCTGATTCCTGCCCTCCCCCGCAACTCACACATCTTAAAGTTAAAGTTAATCAAAAGGAAAAGCAGTTTATCTGTTTAGATACGTATATATCTCACATAATTATGGTATCTGAGCACAGTATCCAACTCTTCCTGGGAAAGTCAAATCAAATGTATCCAATAATGTGTTACCTCTGTGTTTTATTGCTATATATGTTGCAACTTGACCAAAGGAATTCAAAGCATGGCAGACAAAGTGATGTTCGTAATCCTCGCTATTGACTTCGGAAATGTTGAGTCTCACTGTAGTGAGAGGGTGTCCATCACAGAAAGTTTCGCCTCTATCCAAAAGGTAGCAAACACAGTAATAAAAACAACTCAATCCTTACTGAAGTGGTTTCTTCGCTAGCAATCACAACAGGACAATAGTCACTGATCTTCAACACTATGACCATATATCAGATTCTTTTCAGAACTGACGGATAGCTTGAATCTATAAGGGGATCATCATGACACTTTGTCTATCTCTGACAAGCAAGATGGAGATCAGGAGACATCCTTATATAAACACAGTTGATGCACTGTTTCCTCAAAAGCATACACAGTTTCTGTAGGCTACTCGTATAAAATATTTGCTTTATACATTAAACTTACGGGCACATTTCAGCTTGCAAAAACATGAGGGTAGAGAAAGGATTGTATTAGAGCTTTTAATGTCTTTGAACGCTGTGGATGCAGCTGTAGAGGCCACAGAGATGACTGGGGGAGAATGGCCCCCAGCATAAGTATACATAAGGAAGCTACAGGCTACCACACAAGGTCCCTCTTCCATCCCACCACAAGCCCTGGTGTAGGAAATGGGCCAGGGGTGGGGCTGGAGCTAGAGGAGGTGGGACCATAACACTGATACAATTCTGGGAGTACCATCACCCACAGACAGTTCAGGCATGGCTGCCATTTCAGCCCCAGGAGTAGCACAGAATTAGGAGGGCTTAGCCCTCCCTTCCCTGGGCTGTGAGGTTTGTGCTGCACTTTTAAGAGGCCCAACACAAATTCTTCCCCATGGTATTTCCCAAGCCCCCCGTGGTACTAACCTTATCACACATCGGCTTAGTTAAGTGTGATGGGGTAAATGTTACATTAGAAACTGTAACTTTTTAGTACTGGGCGAATGGGGGATATCATTTATCTTGTTAAATTCATATTACGTGTCGCACATTAAAGAACCTATCTGCTTATCCAATTAATGTTTATCACTTAAAATATTCTATTTATCATTTGAAATGTCAACTAATTATTTAAATATATTCATAAATGAAGGTTATAGACCTTATGCATCAGTGATGTATGGATTAATTATCTATTACATACAATAAAACCCCTAAACTAAAAAAATATTATTGAGGTTGCAAGGTCAAAAGTTAGGAAATGCCAGAATTATGACTGGACAACCTTAATCTGGGCCTCCTCCATGGCTGCATTATGATATAGTCTTTAGTTACATGATCACTTACTCTGTTTCCATTGGACCATGTGTCATTCATTGCACAGGATGGATGGTGCTCACTTAGTGAGCAACTATTCAAAATTTTATTTTCTCCTTGTTGTTCAATGTGTAACCCTAGGCCTGATTTACCACATGCTATTCAGACCACACTCTGAAGATAGAATTAATAATTTCCTTGTGGGATTTTCTATGGCTTTTCTTCATTACAGTACCTGAGTGCTTCACAAACATTCATTCATCTTCACAAAATCCCCAGGAGATGAGGGGTGGTGGAAGCCCCATTTTGCAGATTTTTTTTTTTTGCAAACTGAGGCACAGAAGGATTGAGGTCAAAAAGTGTCCACTAATTTTGGGTGCCCAATTTGAGGCACCTAAGACTCTGTCCCAGCCCCAGTCCCCTTACCCAGTCAGTCCCAGTTCCTCCCATCCCAGCTCCTCATCTGATCCATCTTTCTCCCCAACCCTGGAGCCCAGCCACCTCCTCCCTCAATTCCTCCCCGACACCCAGCTCCTTGTCCTAGTCTCTTTTCCCAGCCAGTCCCAGTTCTGCTCCTGTACCCAGACTCATCATCAAATCTGTTTCCCCTCCTTGCCACCTTCTCTCCTCACCCCACTGGTTCTCAGTCTCCTTGTTCAGAAAGTCCCAATCTTCCCCTAGCTCTTCACACAATCTCAGTCCTCCCCCCACCTACTGGCTTCCCATTCTTCCCAATTTACCTCTCCAGCTCCCAATCCTAGCCTCCTTGCCCACCCCAAGTCCCTATTTCCCTCAGCCCCTCCCTGCCAGCCTCCAGTCACAGTTTCTGCCTCCCAAATGTTCCTTGTCCCTGTCTACACCCCTACATGTCTGGCTCTAGTCCCCCCTGCATTTGAATCAGGCAGCTTCCTCTCTCACACTGCCTGGGCCCAATGAGGCGTGTGTGTGTGTGTGTATGTGTGTGGAGGGGGTAGTCATTGAGAGCACAGGAGAGGGAGTCTCCCTGCTCTCAATTCAGGTGCCCAGACCCAGACCGGACAGCATCCCAGAGCTGCAAGTGCAGGGAAAGTCCTGCTGAGCCCTCGTCTGAAGCATGTTCCATGTGGACGGAATCTTCAGGGAATTTACCTGTAAAATCTAAGAAGTTTCTAAGGCTCATAATTTAGCCAAATTTAGGCAGATTTTCATAGGGATGGAAAAATATGCAACCCTGACACAGAGGCCACCTCCAGCCAAATTTAAAGCCCCTGCTCCAAAGCATATGGGCACTAGAGCTTTTCAAATAAAAGGTTGCCAGAATTTTGTAACATAGGGTAAAAAAAAAATCATTTTGCCCCAACCTCATTCTCAGAAATGTCAGAACCGTTTTGACGGGAATTAAAAGAAAAAAAAATCAGCTTGAAGCAGAACCCAGCATGTAAAATTTCAGCCCAAACAATTAAAGTTTGGCAAAGTAATAAGCAACTGAAAACAAGGTCTTCTAACCTAAAGTGTTGGGAACCTTAGTAAAAGGCAGTGCTACCAGCCCCACCTATAATTAGATCACAAAAGTGTGTTTATTTGTGTAACAGTAAATTTTCCATGGCTGATTCAAACAAAACAGAGAAATTATACAAGATTTTAGCTGATAATCCAATACATTCTGATCTTGAAGCATACTTACTCATAATCTTCCTCTTCAAAAATTCTACTCTTATAATATATATCAATGTATGTGTTGTTGACTGTCCAGTACACCTGAAACACTTCAGCGCCTGTTACACTGCAGTCCACTATGACACGTGAGCCTACAAGACAGTGTTACAAAGTGGCAATTTAAATAACTATATTGTAGTTAAGGGCCATACAATTCCCTACACTAATACATATAAGAATGCAAAATCCACTGAAGTCAGCTACAGGCATGGATTTTTCATAGATTCATAGATTCTAGGACTGGAAGGGACCTCGAGAGGTCATCGAGTCCAGTCCCCTGCCCTCATGGCAGGACCAAATACTGTCTAGACCATCCCTGATAGACATTTATCTAACCTACTCTTAAATATCTCCAGAGATGGAGATTCCACAACCTCCCTAGGCAATTTATTCCAGTGTTTAACCACCCTGACAGTTAGGAACTTTTTCCTAATGTCCAACCTAAACCTCCCTTGCTGCAGTTTAAGCCCATTGCTTCTTGTTCTATCCTTAGAGGCTAAGGTGAACAAGTTTTCTCCCTCCTCCTTATGACACCCTTTTAGATACCTGAAAACTGCTATCATGTCCCCTCTCAGTCTTCTCTTTTCCAAACTAAACAAACCCAATTCTTTCAGCCTTCCTTCATAGGTCATGTTCTCAAGACCTTTAATCATTCTTGTTGCTCTTCTCTGGACCCTCTCCAATTTCTCCACATCTTTCTTGAAATGCGGTGCCCAGAACTGGACACAATACTCCAGCTGAGGCCTAACCAGCGCAGAGTAGAGTGGAAGAATGACTTCTCGTGTCTTGCTCACAACACACCTGTTAATATATCCCAGAATCATGTTTGCTTTTTTTGTAACAGCATTACACTGTTGACTCATATTTAGCTTGTGGTCCACTATAACCCCTAGATCCCTTTCCGCCGTACTCCTTCCTAGACAGTCTCTTCCCATTCTGTATGTGTGAAACTGATTTTTCCTTCCTAAGTGGAGCACTTTGCATTTGTCTTTGTTAAACTTCATCCTGTTTACCTCAGACCATTTCTCCAATTTGTCCAGGATGGGCAAAGCAACAACAGCAGCTCCACACTACGTTCTCCATGCCTTCCCACTCCATTTCACAGAAACCCCTCTGACCCAAATGTACAAGTTCAGGGATCTGCAGGTTAGGAAGGGGACTGGCTGGGCCAGAAGGAGCTAAATCCAGGAGAGACTAGCCATTCTCTGTGGCATCAGCCATCCAAAAGTTTCACAGGGGTTTCCTCGCTGGATCTGTTCCACATCTGTAGGCGTTCCGGAGCAGCCACTTCTAAAGAGCACAGAAGGAGCTGTGCTGCAGTGAAGAAGGCGGCTGGGGAAAGCAATGTCACCTCATACAACTTCCTCTGCCTCTCAAAATATTCCCTGGACATTTCCTAGGTTCTGGAAGGTCAAACCTCTTGTCTGTTCCACCTTCTTCTCCCTCAGGAAGTTAATATATGAGAGACCCTCTGAGCTGAATCTCATGGAGTTTCCTGGCTGCTAAAGGTTTGTCTACACAGTAGTCGAGAGGGTGATTCCCAGCGCAGGTAGACAGACATGCACTACCTCTGCTCAAGACAGCCTGCTAAAAACAGCAGCGTGGCTGTAGCAGCTTGGCTAGCCACCAGAATATGTACCCAGGGGGTTGGGCAGAATTAAACTTGGGCAGCTAGTCCATGCCACTGTGGCCACACTGCTATTTTTAGCACGCTAGCTTGATCAAAGCTTGTGCGTCTGTCTACCCATGCAGGAAAGCATCATCCCAGCTGTTGTATAGACACACTCTTAGTAGTTTTTTGTTGCATAAGGGGCACTTTTGCTGTAAAGGAGGATATGACTAAGCAAACAGCACTTGGAAATCCTCTTGAGTCTAAATTCTGTTTAGGATACACATTATTATTTTGTTGTAAGAAAACTTGCTTACCAAGTTCTACTTCAATGGTATTGTTTCTTGGGTAAAATATTTCTGGTGGTGTGTTCCGTGGACTCACTAAACACAAAAACAAAGTTATTTCAGAAATTCAATGGCCGCTGCAGCATATGGTAAGTGCTACACACCCACAGTGATGGCATTCTTAAAGACAGACATGCAAACAGTGACTTCTGAATAGATAGTGATCAATATTAAAATGCAATAGCCAAACCCTTGATGTTTTTGTTTGCTACTTTAGGTTAATTTACTCTTCTCTCCTGTTTAAGCTCTGGGGCTGCTCTATCTTGGCACAAGGGGATCAACCCTGAACACAATGGCGGCAGCAGAACCACAAGAATACGAAAGTGAAGTGTAAACCACCATCTCGCTGTCTCATACACACACACACACACACACACACACACACGCTGTTCTTTAGCTGTAGCTGAGAATCTGGATAGTATTTTTGAAGTGCAAGGGCATAAAAAATAAAAAGGTATATACCTGTCACAGTTAGACTAATGTCTCGTGAAATGTTATATTGTTTTCCCTTGTAAGTATATGATGTTCTGCATGTGTAGTTTCCTTTGTCATGTAGAGTTGCATTTTTAATCACAAGGTAATCATTGGAAGAGACAAACCTTTCCTCTTCAAGCAGCTCACACTCCTAAACACAATTACAATGCTCTGTTAAATCACAGATAGAATACAGTATCATGTCCCTCCAGGGCTTGCCTGTATGCTGCAGCCTAAGCTTTTCCTGGACCATAAAGCTGGGACAGTCTCCCTGGTTTGTCTTGGAAAAACACAACATTTCCCTAGGCTCTGAGGTTGTGATTCAAACCAACTCCAGGTCTGTCCACAGATAGGCTTACTTACAATAACTCATTTTACAGAGGGGGAATTAAAGCAATGAGAGGCCAGAATTTGCAGAAATGTCCACTAATTTAGGGTACCTCAATGATCGGGCACCCAACCTGACATACCTAGTATCTGATTTTTCAGAGTACTTAACTTTTTTTTTAAATGGAGCTTTGGATTGCACAGACATTAATCCATCCTCACAACATTCCTGCGAGGAAGGTGGATAACTATTATTATTCAGATTTAACAGTTCGGGAAATGGAGACAGGAAGACAAAGGAACTTGCCAAAGTCAGACAGTAAGACAGTGGAAGAGGTAGGATTAGATCACAGGACTTTCTGGCATTTCCTGTTTTTTGAGTGCTAGACAACTTTACCAGTACTCTTTTAATGTATTTTTTTACTATGTCATAACCAAGGACTGTTTCGTTAAGAAAAAACCATTTCTATTATGTACAACTGTAACAGTCCCCTTCATAAATAATCAAGGTAGCTTGAACCCTGCACCTTCAAGATTGCCACACAGACCTCTACCACTTAAGCTAAAGGACTAACAGCAAGAAGCAGGAACAAGTTGTGTACCAGCCAGTGGAGGAAGTCATGTAGCACATGGGAATGGTCGGCTACATATGCAGAAGTAGTGCCATTTTACAGGTTGCACAGCCAAGCACACAGATCTAGCACATTCCTTCTAATAGGCAATGTGGAAAAAAGGAAAAGATTTGAATCTGCCATATTAGAGATGCAGTCATAGGTTTCTCCATCCAGCAGACACCTGAGGATACCATCACAGAGATCTTATGAGATGTAGTCAGGATCGACTCCTCTCTACTGGCACCATGGCAGAAGATCAATGCCTTGAACATCTTCCTGATCCCCCGTATTTCATTTGTCCTGAGGGGATCTGCCATGGTGAAGGTACTTCTTAACAAGGCAGACAGCACCTTTAGGCAGCTAGTGAAGAAGTGGATATTTCTTCCCCAGAGGGCCATCAATGAACTGGTGTACATTTCACACAGGCAGGGAGGCACCAAAGTCCCTCAAATGGGTGATCTGTGCAATGTTGAGGTGATCACTCATGCCTTCTGCTTACTGACGTGCCCTGACACCATGGTGAGGAACTTCGCAGAGAATGCTATGCATGACGTCATCAGGAAGTGAATAGCCAGGACCCCTTCCAACCAAGATGTCGCCACCTACTCGAGTGGCTCACTGTAATGCAAATTTGGAAGAGAAGGAGGAGACTGCTTCATTCTGGACTCGGACCTGCAATGCTACACAATGACTGGAGAAAGTATCAGCTGCCACTGGACGTGGTGCGAGGAACCCCAGGAGCTGGGAGTCCTGGTGCCACAGGTGAAGAATAAAGAGCACACAATCATCACTCCGAGAGCTAGAACCATGCTGGAGAGGACCCTGAAGGATGCCATCCGCTGCCAGTACGTGGAAAACCTGAAACGGAAGCCAGACGAGGGCAAGGCCTTTGAGATGATATGCAAGTGGGATGACAGCAACCATTCCAGGGGCAGTTTCACCCGATTTGCCGACTGGAGGTTCATCCACAAGGCCCGGTTCAACTGCGTCCCACTGAACTGAGCCGTCTGCCACAGGAATCGGGACAAGCAATGCAGGAAGTGTGGCTATGCCAACGAGACACTACCCTAAGTCCTGTGTAGCTGCAAGCCCCATTCCAGAGCCTGGCATCTGTGACACAATGCCATCCAGAATTGCCTAGTCAGAGCCATCCCGCCATCCCTGAGGAAAGTGGCTGTAAACTCTGCCATCCCCAGAACGGACAGCCAACTCCGACCGGACATCGTCATCATCAACAAGGAACGAAAGAAGCTCATCATGCTGAATGTCACAGTTCCCTTTGAAAATAGGACCCTGGCCTTCCACGACACTTGATCTCGGAAGCTGGAGAAATACGTCCCTCTGTCCAACACCTTGAGTGCTAGGGACTATGAGGTTCAAACTCATGCGCTGATCATCGGAGCTCTGGGTGCATGGGACCCCAGTAACGAGCAAGTGTTTAGAGAATGCGGCATTGGTCAATGCTACACTTGGCTGATGTGGCAACTCATGACGTCGGATGCCATCAGATGGTCGAGGGACATCTATCTAGAACACATCACAGGACATTGGCAATACCAGGGAAGATTAGCTGGAGTGCCGATGAGAAGCAAAGTCAGGAAAGTAACTGAAATACTTCCCTGATGGATTGTATTTTATAAGGGATGACCTATCCTAATTTCTCAATTACTGAGGGACCATCTGCACTCATTGCTATATTTGCTTTCCACAACCAACTCTCTGTATAACTTTTTCATGAGTGATGTACCCGAATATTTGGATACTATTATCTATACTGTATCTTTAGACTTATTAATCTAAATTTGGGTTATCGCTGATTATGTACTATATGTATTGTATGACTTATTTTCATTTTATGTATTTTTAGATAATCTAAGCACTACATCCAGATGTACAGACACTCTTTCCTCAAGCTGTGTATTATATAATTTTAACATTAGCTTTAATACAATTTTTAAATCTGTTCCCTGCATTTTCAGAATTGACCTTGTGTAACTTCTCAATGGGATATGAATCCTTGCTCACTAATAAGGCTTGTAAAGGGCACCAAACACCGGTGTAGAAAAAAGGTATCTAGAACTCATTGTTGGAGAGCCATTAAAAGCAACTAAATATCAAGGTCCTAAAACAGAAACTCCCCTCAAAATGCATTCACAGGGGAAAAAAATCATTAATTTTTTTTAAATGATTCACCAAGAAAACTGGACTTTGAATGAAAAACCCATGTTTTAAAGAAAATAAGAAATACGGACATTAAAGAATCATCATCATGTTTTCCATAACTCCCCCACCCTTTCTAATAGATTAAAAGGCAGAAGGGGAGAACATATACTCATTATAACATTGAAATATAAAATAGAGAATTATTAATGGTAAGATTAGGAGCTTTGATAGCTATGTTTTTAATGATTTGTAATTATGGGGAGTGAATGAGTACAAATGAGGTAACTCTTAGGTCAAGACCTTGCTGGCATAAGTGTGGTTTTGGCAATTCCTTTATACAGAATTGATGATTTGCTTAAAACGATATTATTGCCAACAAAACAAAGGTAACATGTTGTGCTGGAAGTCTGGGGGTAAAAACACACAACCCTGTAACAACAAGAAGCCTTTTTTACAGAGGAGATCCAGGGTAAGGTGACACAAAAACAACATGACACCAAAACTGCAAAACCAGAGCACTTGAATTTGAGCATGCACAATGCATGGGTCATCCAAAACCCAAAGGGTTGGTTTGTTAACAGCTCATTGGATAACTATTAAGTAATCTGTAATGCAGAAATGTATTAAAAATACCTAACTGAACAAGGGTCTAAACTGGAGAAATACCAGACCAGAAATTGAAGGAGAGGACTGAAAGACCAGACCAAGAGATCGGGGAAACAACGACCATCAAGAATTCTAGGAGGACTTCCGATACCCCGGAATGTGGTAACTTGAGCCCTTTGCCAATTCCATCTTGTCTGTTATTATTTGTCTGGCATAAATGTATGTCCAGATGCTATAAGTGACAATAATTCTGTCAGAAATTCTATAAATAAAGGCCAAAATTGATAACGCCCAAATTGGGTGGACTTGTGACTCAAGTTTCCCAACTTTTACCCCAACATCATGGACCCTTGGCTCTCAGCCCAGCACACCTTTGCTAGGCCAAAGAATATCTGGATGAGGGAAAGAGCTGCAGCAACCACTGCCATTTTGACTGTGTAACATAATTTTATAATGGGAAGTGTTAAGCAGCCTTAACGTAAGAGGGAGCATAGCAACCCCACACAAGATACCTTCCCTTTATGAAAGATGAGAACATTGTTTACTAAATTTATTTTCACAAGGAAATTATATTCAAGGCAGTTACACTTCACTAGCAAGTAAGAATATGGCATGTGGTTTGGTGGCTCAAATTAGAGCTCACTTTCTGATCCATAATTCATAAATACAAGGCACAGACCAAAAATTAGGGGGTGTCTAACTAGTACATGCCTTTAGAGAACAAAAGCTAAAGGGTAATTGTCATCTTTTCTCAGTTTATTTTGCAAAAGCTCGTCTCATTTAAAATATGCTGTAGTTTTTCCATTGCCATTCATAAACATCAGTGACTGATATTAAAAAACACTGATTATAGTTTACATATCAAGGAGTTATGACCGCAAAAAAAGTACTATTTTTACCTTATACCACTGAAGGGGCAAAGTATTCTCCTCATCTCTGAAATAATCCAAATGAGGACATACAACCTTAGCATGTGACGATGTTAGTATCTCCTCCCCAATGGCAAATTTTTCATTAAAGCATAAACCATAAATATTCTTGAAAACTCTTAGGTTCATATATATTTTTCTGCAGCTTGATAAATTCCTGCAATGGAACATAAAATATCTGAATTAAACTACTTATCGTATTATCCATGTGTATAGCCTCACAACTTCAAGATATGCAGCTTCTTTTAGAGGAGGAAGAGGAGGGGTTTGGAAGTCTGTAGTTTCTATAGTAAACTGACCATTCTATATTTGGCCCATCTTGAAAGAGTAAAAATATTATAAACATGCCCTCTATTGTATTAATTCCCTCCACAGCAGTACTTATGAAGAAATGTAACTATATACTGATTATCACACCCACCCACCCCCCACAAAAAAAAGCAAAAACAAAAAAAACCCCTACACACAATTTTGCATCTTACTTCTGCAATAGTATAACTTTTTTAAAAAAAGTCTTTACCTTATAATACATTCATAGGATCCTGAATCGTGTAAAGTTGCAGGGAGAAACCAAATGAAGTTCTTTTGCTGGTGAATTCTGGAATGTTTGTCTTTAGCCACGGATGTTTGGCTACCAGTTTTGTACCAAGTCAAGTTGTAGTCTGTGTTTTCAAAATTCAGTATTTTATCTACTGAACAGTTGACAGCAAGTGGCTGTCCTTCATGTACAAAATTGTGCTTAAGAAACACATCATTCACTTCGCATTCCTCTAAAGGAAGACAAAATGAAAAACAAGAGAACAGCTTAAAAATTGTAAAATAAAATTTTGAGTTTGTTTCTTTACTATGTTGACAAAGTTTACTACAATTTCAACATTCATCCTTAATTTAGTTACAGGAGAGAGAACTACTGTTATTCATCTTCAGACTGGAAGATACCACATAATCATACTCAAATGATGTGGTGGATGTAGCTAGGCAACTGAAATGAAATATTCTGGTTCTGCATGTTGCACCTTTAAACATGGGCAAATCCCTACTGCAGGGCTGCCATTTTTGTTTTTCATCTTTGATGCAGAATGTTAGTGAATCGTTGTTTTCTCTGACACACACACACACAGACTTCTTATTTGTTCTTACTTTGTTTCTTAATGTAGCTTCTTCATCTGAAATAAGCCATCAAGAGTGAATAATGCATGTTCCCATCTTTCTGTATGTAAAAGCATCTAGTTAATGGAATTTTGAAGATGAAAGTATAAACTGTACAAATATCAAGGGGTTTCCACTCAGCCACCTTCTCATGAGCATGAAGGTTATGATTTTTAAAAGCACTCAATATTGGCCTAATTCTGCTCCCACTGAACTCAGTGGGGTTCAGTGGGAGCAGAATTAGCCTAGCGGTGAGCATTTTTGAAAAATCCTACCTTATGAACCTTTTGTTAGAGTTGTCAACTCTGGTGTCATGGTTCTATTTCAGACTCAATCACTACATATTGCTCATCGAAAATTCCTTTTGTTTCAGTTGGATTATGGTTTTCTTTCTCATGCTCTACTTCAACACATTTTTTTCTGTAGCACTGTGTGCTGTTAAACTGTTGCTACAGCCTGTGACAAAGGGCTGTATTTTAGTGGTGGGTGAAGTCATTTCTGTACCTATAGAGCCAAAGAAATCCCTCCCCTTTTAAATGTGGAGGGTATGAAACACATGCAAATATTGACCTGATCTGGCTATAAAGAACATAAAGGGTACTGGAATAGACTCCTTTCTGCCACCAAACCCGAAGCAGTATCCAAAACAGTGACGTGTTTTACGAACTCCCAATATCAATTTCTAGGAAGCCCACTCTGTGCCAGCTAGCATTTTCATGGCACAGGTAAGAATTATAAGATGCATAGGCAGGGAGGCCAACGGGAGTACCTATTGCCATGGAAGAGAGCAGCCAGAGGATATCCCACATGATCAGCCCCTCTACACTAATGGCCTGCTAGCCACAAAATTTCCATACAGAAGTTAGGATATCCATTGGGCTAGCGAGCCACAAAGCTCCTCTGTCCACAGACATAAAACCCATCTTCACCAGAATGATCTGTTAGAAACTCAGTGAATGAAAATTCATGGCGTTTTTCTTTTAATCAGACTGTGTCCTGCTGCAAGCTTTTTGGATAGGAGGATTTGGCCCTTAGCTTGAAAAGCAATATAGGATCCTTCGGAATATAAAGGCATTATATGCTATTATGTAGTATTATCGCTATGATATTATTACTACTATTACATGATCAGATAACAATGAATAATATGGCATATTATTGTGCAAATGATATGCTAATACAAATAAGCTATTTTTTTCTAACTGTAGAGGCAAAGTCAAAATTTCTTGTATTACTGCATATATTTAAGATAAATTTTCATACTGCACCTCATCTATACTTTTTTTTTTTTTTTAACTTCAACTATATTATATTAAAAAACACAGTTAGGGAAAACCAGATATTTCTCCCACCCCAAACATCTAAATTCAAGTTCCACCTATTAGATCAAGTGAAGAAGCATTTTAGGTTATCGTATTATAGTAATTTATTTATGCTGATATATATGATAAGGAAGCAAGGCATTAACCAGGATATATGGAGATCACGCTAGCAATTCATATATTATTTCTTATTTTCACTAAATGTGCACATTTTGCATAAGTAACATTCTATGAAAATTCAATAACTGTCTGTCCCCAATAGCATCTTATTCAGACCAGATCTATTAGAAATTGAGAGAGAGAGAGAGCAGCAGCAGAAGATCTGGATTGTTAGCCCATGACTGAAGGGCAGAGCAAGATGGATGCAATTCAGAGCTATATCTATATGTAAGCAGAGTCAGGATGAGCTCTACCCTGACATCTGGTGGTGAATTATGGCGAGTGTGGAAAAGAACTTCAGGGGCTGATCTTGTTTGCATAGGCACACCCACCCACCTGGCATGAGACAACAGCAACTGATAGTGGTTACTTTGGATGGGGTGGGATCCCCAGTTTCTCTGTTATTGGGGCAGGAGGAATAAAGTGTTGTTACCCTGATTATGTGAATCAAGGACAATGAAACTGTTTTATGACAGAGGGTCTCACCATCACCTAAGTAGCTCTCGCTAGACAAGGGACATGGGTTCCACAACCCAGTGACTTGAGAAAGGATGGGGATAGGTATTTGTACCTGATAGTATGGGCCCTCCTTTGAGGGCCTGAAACACCAATTACACCCCATCCTCTCTCCACTGTTGAATGTCAGAGCTAACTTTGATTCTATTAGGAGTCCAGTTACAGGCTGCTGAGCTGAATTCACTTTGGGCCAATAGTGCACCAGCACTGGGGCTCCCCTACTATGAGCTGAAATCACTAAGAGCTAAAGTTACTAAGAACTGAGTGCTGTGTTAACTAGTGGGGGAGCCTGAAGCTATATTGCTAAGTGGCTGGTGGAGCAGTTTGCGGGGACGGCTGGAGGAGCAGCGAGCGGCACGGAGCCTTGCGGGGATGGTTGGAGCAGCCCAAGGAACGGCGAGCGGGGACCGCTGGAGCAGCTCACAGGTTGTTGAGCTTAGCCATTTGCGGGGACGGCTGGAGCGGCTCACAGGTTGGTGAGCGGAGCCATTTGCGGGGATGGCTGGAGCGG